GCCAGCAGCCGCCGCAGCACAATGGCTTGCGGGGGCTGGAAAGGACCCTGTACCTGCTGCGTCACGTTGCGCCTCTGATTGACAGCCGCCAGGTAACGCAGGACCAGCTTGGTGGCTTCCGTTTTGCCTGACCCACTTTCGCCGCTAGGAAGAGAAGAAGCGAACGTAATGGTGGCCACTGAGCGCCCATGGGCGCTGTTCCCATGGAAATCCATGGCCCAAATCCAACGGGCCCCCAGCCAGGGCTAAGTACCTGCTGCGTCACGTTGCGCCTCTGATTGACAGCCGCCAGGTAACGCAGGACCAGCTTGGTGGCTTCCGTTTTGCCTGACCCACTTTCGCCGCTAGGAAGAGAAGAAGCGAACGTAATGGTGGCCACTGAGCGCCCATGGGCGCTGTTCCCATGGAAATCCATGGCCCAAATCCAACGGGCCCCCAGCCAGGGCTAAGCCAGGCCTGGCCGTTTTACACTTCTATTGATTTTAATCCTGTAGCGCTGGCTCTAGATGCCAGCTAGAGATTGACCCGGGCAGCGCTCAACCAACGTCCCTTTGGGGTTTGCCATGACGATGCACATACCAGAGTCACAGCCCTGGGCAGGGATGTCTCAAGTCTACCTGCGGGCCAGGTGTGGCATGGGCGGGGCAAGGTGGCAGGGGCGGTCCCAGCCCAGCGCTAGGGAGCCCCCTTCTGGAAAGAAAGGAGAGCTCCCTTTCCTCAGCAAAGCTGCAAGCTCTCACCTGATGATAATACACTGGTTGTGTTTGGCATCCATCAGTTTGGTATAGGCGACGTTTGCAATAGCAAAAAGGTGCCTGAGAAAGAGCCGGAGGCACAGAGTGTTAGGGGCAAAATGGCCCCGCAGAAGAGAGGGTCCCACCAGCCAGATACCCGACCAGGCTGCTGATGCTCTGAGCTGAACCAGCTCCTTTGCCCGAGGCCACCCACCGGCACAAAGGAAGTCTGAGCGCACCCAGCCAGACGGACCCCCCAGCTGCTACCCACGGGCAGGACGGAGCTGTCACCTGTGCTGGGATCTCCACTCGAGAGAGAAAACGGCTGCTTCATCATCAGACCTGGTTGTGACCTGGTCCTGCCCAATCTCAGGGTCCGATCCTGCAAGCCCTTACTACCCCAAGGGGTCATGCATTGCAGTGGGGCTACTGGGCTGAGAAAGGGTAACGCCCCACAGTAAAACTTTGCAGGCTCGGGTCCCCTCAGGGAAATCTGAGCTCAAGGAGAGTCAAGGGCCCTGAGCAGCCAGGCTGGGCAGCTAAGGCACCAACCGGAAGGGGGCTGTAAGGGAGGTACTTACGGGGGATTCTCTCCCAGCGCCTTTCCCTCATACTGCAGCACCTGCTCTGTCCCGTAGATGTTGTACATTTTGTACGGGTTCACGGACACCAAGATGCTGCCTATGTAGGTCTGCAAGAGCAAAAGATGTGGAGGAAGAGCTGCAAAAGATGTGGAGGAAGATGGGGTGCCCGGTGCCTGCAGGGGATGGGGTGCAGGGAAGGCCACCTAGAGGGACAGGGAGGGGGCATGCAAGGGCACCCCATTTAGCCAGTAAAATGTTGGCTGGAGCATGGGGAGCAGTGCCTCTCCCGAGTGCTACCGCAAGTCATCTATGGCTGCTTATGCCGTTAGCCTCAGCCCCGCTCGGCAGAAGATGAGCGGCAGCATCTGGCCTAACACGGATTCCCGAAGGCTCTCAGGGCACTTTGCACAAGTGGGGGAAGGTCGGTCTCTGGACAGCTGGTTAAGTCACTGCACAAAACCCTTGTCACGAGAGGGGGGCAAACACCCCAACACGCTGTCCCGCAATCAGCCCAGCCGCCACATGCTCTGCATATCTATCCCACAGGCCCGGGAGGAGCAGGCTAGCCCTGTCCGGCACAGGCCGGCCCCTCCAGTGGCCAGGCCGAGAAGACCCTGGTGGCCTGAAATGAGCTCCCAGTGTGCGGAACTCAGCTGGCCAGGAACTTACATAGATCAACTCGCGTTCAAACCTCGTCTTGATGTTGTGCAGCACCGCCCCCTCCTGGAGGTCCCTGGAACACAGAGCACAAAGGGGAGCACGGCCTAGCCCCGGGGCACGGCGCCAGCAGAAAGGGGGCGAGGCTGACGGCCGGCAAATCCACTCCTGAAAACCCAGCAAGCCCAGTGCAGCCAACGTGCAAAGAAGAGGCAGCGGCCCGAGGCACACGCTCCGAAAAACGAGAGTGGAGTCCGCTGCCCAGGCTGGGGGGGATCTGGGAAGGATAGCAATGGGCGAGGGCTTGAGGACACCTTGTGCTAGTCACTCTGCCTACACAAGGGGAGACACGGCCCCTGCCCCAAACAGTTAGGACAGAGGTTAGGAGGGGACACCAAGGTGATGGGACCCACCCAAGGTCATGCAGCAGGTCAGTGGCAGAGTTGGGCCAAGACCCCAGATTCCTGACTCCCAGGCTGCTGGCCCCCAGGGGCACTCTGCTGAGTGACACCAGCCAGCCCGGGGCAGGTAACATTCCTTCCCGATCAATCAGAGCATGCCAACTTACTGCAGCTGGGTCATGTCCTCCACGCCATCTTCCTTCGGCTCGGCTCGGGGGCTCGCGGAGGGCGGGCTGCCGAGGGAGTGCATCTACACTCGGGGAGCAAGACACGCAGATCGGGCCGTTATTGCAGGTGCCACAGGGCAGCGTTACTCAGACGACGGAGAGTTGGGGTCGGACCCCATGTCGAGCTATTGGGGCTAAACTGGTCCCACTGGCATGTCCATCTGCCAGGGCCGGGGGGACAAGGTCCCCGCTGTTTGCTAGTGACGGCTGCTGGATCGACCCTCCCGTCAGCAAGGGGAAGCCCTAGGCAGCAATGAGGCAGCGCAAGTGCAGCGAGAGATGACAGGAGGGACTTTGCAAAGGAGTCCCTTCATTGCAGCAGCCCACCGGGGCACTACCCTGTAAAGCCAGTGACAGGGTTGGGACACCAGGCCCTGAAGAAGTTTCTGTTCTCTCACTTATTTTTGGGGGTGGGAGGGGTCAATATTCCCTCTAATGTTTCCATTCGTCTGTGGAATAAATTTTGTTTTGTGCGCCACAGCACATGCAGATGTGCACCACCAGTAGAAACACATGCTACCAGCTGTGGGCAGCTATGGGCACTCCGCCAATCAGCTGGGCAGCACCTGAATCTCTCCTGGGTGGCTGCCCAAGTGTTCAGCTTAGGGGGAACACTGTGATGGGCAACTCACCTGCCTGGCCTCTACTTTATTTGTATTGAGCTAGCTTAAATCAAAGCTAGCATGTCTACGTCTACCTGAGCTGCTAATTCTTACTTCAGATCCCATGGAGATGAATCCTTGGCCACTATAGAGCAGTTATCTGAAGTTCTCGCGACGGGGACACTGACCAAATCGGCTGCTTGATGGAGGTGGCGTTCCCCTGTCAGAGAACAGACCCGACTGTGGGCTGCTCCGGGTGGATCCTTCGAGCTGGAGGCTGCCTAGACCAGTGGTTTTCAAACTTTTTTCCTCACACCCCCCTTGAAGAAAATTGTTGCTGCCTGCGACCCAACAGCTTTATACCTTTTGACTCGAGTGAGGGCTGGGGTGGAGGGGGCTCCTTCTGGGTGTGCAGGCTTTGGGGTGGGGTAGGATGCAGATTTTGGAGGATACTAGGGGGCTCCAAGCTGGGGGGCAGGGTGGAGAGGTTCAGGGGAGCTCTGGGCCGGGGTGGAAGGCAGATGAGGTGTTTGGAGTGCAGGAGGCGGCTCTGAGTTTGGGGCAGGGGATTGGTGCTCAGGGTTTGGGTCTGTGCTTTCCTCTGCCGGCTCCCAGGCAGCCGTGCAGCAGGGGTGCTCCGCAGCTTCCCGCCTGTCCTGATGGCGCTGCACCCCAGAAGTGGCCAGCAGCCGGTCTGGTTCCTAGGCAGAGGTGCACAAATGGCTCTGCATGCTGCTTTCGCCCACCGGCACCTGCCCCCAGAGTCTATGCCCAGGATGGAGGCCATGGGGGGAGCCCCATCCAGCCCCGTCTAGGAGCTCTGGCATCACTCCATTGGCTCCCCCTCGCTTGCCACGCCCAGCTCCACTTCTCAGCTTTGGTTTCCAACCCCTGCACAACTCAGCCCTGGTCTGCCTCTCTAAGCACATTCCCTGCCCCTGCCCTTTGCTCCGCCCATGATGCCGGCCCTGCCTTTCCCCTCTTCGCCCATGCTTTCATGCTGGCCCCCTCAGTGAGATCAGCTCAGCAATTTCTCCCCTCCCATTCAAATCCATCCCTAAGACTAATTTTTTCTACAAGCTGCACCCCTCTCCCCTGCCACACATGCAGCACACACAGGGCACGTCTACACCGCAGGGTGAAAGTTGAATTAAGCTACGAACTTGAGCTGTGTCAATTGGTAGCTGAAGCTGAAATAGCTTAATTCAGCTTTTGGGGCTGTCTACACAGCAGGAAGTTGAAGGAAGAGCCCTCTTCCTTCAGCTTCCCTTACTCCTCGTGAAATGAGGGTTACCAGAGTCGGAGTAAGCAGGCCTCCAGCGTGCCATTATTTCGAAATAACGGCTTGCAGTGCAGACACGCTCTTTGTTATTTTGGAATAACGTGAGTTATTCCGAAATAACGCAGCTGTGTAGACGTACCCATGAGAATATTAGCCTGAGGATTTGCCTCCCTGGGAACGCTTAGGAAAGTTAATGCACATTAATTTTCAAAGTGAATTCATTTAACCACAATAAATCTCTTTGTGCATGCTCTTGTGAATTAGGCTAACCCAAATCAAGGTCACTTGAATTCTGAATGAGAACCCACAGATGAGTTTAATGTGGTTTGACTAATCCATTTTTATGCATTTGACGCAAGGTGTGAATTTATTTTCCTGAGGATCCCCATGTAGACAGAGAGAGAAAAGGAAAATGACAATGAATTATTTGCATTACAGGAGCACCTACATGTCCCCGCTCATTTTTTTCCAGCCATGTGTGGAATACATTTTGTTCTGTGCACCGAGGCAAGTGCGGATATGCACCACCAGTGGAAACACATTTTGCCGGCTGTGGGCACTCTGCTAATCAGCTGGGCGGCATCTGAATCTCTTCTGGGTGGCCACCCAAGCACACAGCTTACAGGGAACACTGGTCCCAGCCAAGAGCAGGCCCTGAGACAGTCTCTGACACAAAACAATCACCATCTAATTCAAGGCGGATGGCGGAAGCCAAGCAGTGCCCTACCCACTAGACCACACTGTCTCTCAGTGTGCAAAAGCAGCTTCCCAGTGTGGCGTCCCTCTGCATTCCACACCAGAGCACGCCCTGAGCGGCTGTGTGCCATACACACACAGGCACCTCTTTAGCTTTCAAGGACAATGCTGGGCTAGCTGAGACATGGTTACAATCCCTGTGTGAATTTCAGAGGTGAGAGGTCGCCACTGGGCCTCGGTTCATCTCCCCCTAGCCAGTGCAGGCCGGGTCCCTCTCCTCTCAACCCCTCTGCTTCGTCCGTCAGGACTTTCAATGCCGCGCAGTGTTAGCTGAGCGCACAGAAGAGCCACCGAGCGTCTGGGGCTCCGCAAAAACCCCAAGGTAACTAAGAGTCACCAGCTTGGAAGAGCAGACAATAAACCCTGGCGCTTTTTTAACCCCATGGTAGCTCCCAACCTGGAGAGCATCCAGCGCCTCGTGGGCTCAGGCCAGGGCAGGCAGCAAGCAGGTAAGCAGATCCCCCTCCCAGGAAAGTCAGTCCCGTACCGAGGTAGGGCTCAGATGAGCTCTGTCAGCCAGCGTGTGCCAAGAGAGGCCCCGGCAGTGCCGCTCTAATTAATAAACCCTCCTGTTCCAATGCAGCAATCTGCCCCAGATCAAGTCCCTGCATTTACATACACCCCTTTTGTTCCCTTGCCAGGAGAGAGGTCAAATGGCTCCAAAAATAACAGCTGTCACCCTGGCTGCAGTGTGCTTATAGCGTTACACCGACAGGGCCCGGGGATAGCTCTGGGCCTTTATTTAACCTCAGTGGGGACTGAGGTGGTTTCTCCTTGCCAGAGGGCATGCCGGCTCCTTAGCCGTGCCCGTACAGCCTGGATCCTGCAGCCCACTGTTTGGGAACCTCTTTCAAAACAGAGGGGTCGCTGTGTTAGTCTGAATCTGCAAAAGCGGCGAGGAGTCCTGTGGCACCTTCTAGACTAACTGAAGTGTTGGAGTATAATGCATCGGACGAAGTGGGTCTTTGCCCATGAAAGCTTATGCTCCAACACTTCAGTTAGTCTATGAGGTGCCACAGGACTCCTCGCCGCTCTTTCAAAACAGGACATGTTTTTTAGACTGCCCAACCAACTTCATGGCACCAGCTGTGGTCTCCGGGGGCTTGGCTGTAAGCGGATAAGTCAGCCTGAGCTGGGGTTGTTTGCATGGGAGTGCAGACTGGCCGCCTTAGCTTCTCTCCTGCGCAGCACGGCCATGTGGGCACAGCCACACGCCCATTGGGATGGTGAATCATAAAATCCTAGAAGTGGAAGGGACCTCGAGAGGCCATCGGGTCCAGTCTCCTGCCCCCGTGGCAGGACCAAACACCAGATCATCCCTGACAGGTGTCTGTCCAACCTGCTCTTAAATATCTCCAATGATGGAGATTCCACAACCTCCCCAGGCAACTTATTCCAGTGTTTAGCCACCCTGACAGACAGGAAGTTTTTCCTAATGTCCAACCTAAACCTCCCTTGCTGCAGTTTAAGCCCATTGCTTCTTGTTCTATCCTCAGAGGCCAAGATGAACAAGTTTTCTCCCTCCTCCTTATGACACCCTTTTAGATACCTGAAAACTGCTATCATGTCCCCCCTCAATCTTCTCTTTTCTAAACTAAACAAACCCAATACCTTCAGTGTTCCCTCATAGGTTATGTTCTCTAGACCTTTAATCATTCTCTTCTCTGGATCTTCTCCTTTCTCTCCACATCTTTCTTGAAATGTGATGCCCAGAACTGGACACAAGACTCCAATTGAGGCCTGAGGAATGTACCAGCGCGAGTGACACCACTGAGCATCCTTACCCCAGAGCAGGCGAGAGGAGCGTCACTAGCTGGCACGGAGGAGAAAATGTATTTTAATGTTCATATCTGAGGCTAGCTCTAGTGCAAGAGAAGGGAGTCATATCTAGGGGTTAGAGTAGATGGCTGGCAGGATTCCTGGGTTACTTTGGCTGGCTGACTATAAGAACCTGATGCTCATTCCCATGTTGTGATGAAGGCAGAGAAGGGGGGCGGGGGCAGGGGAAGGGTCACCGCCAGGGGCTATAAAACTCTACTAAATAGACAAGGTCTGTTTTTAACCTTTCCGACCCTGGTGTTTTCTGCAGCACTAGGCCAAATTGTTTCTCTGGCCAATGTGTAACTTACACCCCTTATCTCACTTCAAGATTTGGTCCAGAGGGTTTTAACAGAGCTGTGCCTACTTATCCAGGGGTCAAATGTGGCACTCTCTTCAGTGTAAAGGCCTGATCCAATGCCCCCTGATAATCAGCAAGCTTTGGATCCGGCCCTATATTTGGATTAATCCCCGTGAGTTTACCAAAGTGTAAACTGGCCCCAGGTTCTAGATTCCGCTCAAAATGCACCACATTGCTCCAAATTACCTTATTGTGCCAGGGTGGCGTCTTGCCCGTGCTCCCACGCACCCAGTGGTTCCCATCGCTCCGGTTCTGCGCTGATGGTCTGTGGGTCAGGTACCTCGCAGCGCTGTCTCCTCGCTGGCCTGACCACCTGTTAAAGCTCTCAGCAGGAGGGTTATGAAGCAATTTCTCAGACGACCGTACGCTGGGCGATGCATGGACGTTCACCATCTGCTGCTTAGACCAGTGTTGCTTGTGCAGGTAGGACATCCTTCTGAAGGAGCCCAGCCTCTGGACCTGCGGCATGACCACAGCGTACCTCCCTGCGCCATCCTCCCCAGACACGTCCTCATTCTCCAAGAGCTCAGCTGGGAGTTTAGCTGGTCTGCTACATGCTTTCCGCAAAGACGGGGACCCGGCAAAGGCGGGACCAGTTGCCGTCACAACATGGGAGCCTTTGAAGGCCACTGTTCTTTGTGACTGAAGGCCCAGATGCGCCCGTGACTTATTTGCTTCTCCCATTGGCATCGTAGCGTGTTTTAGAGAGGGAGCGGGGGAGGCCGGTTTCTGAGAAGGGCTCCTTCCAAGAGGGTGTCTAGGATGTGTCGGGGATGGCGGGCGTTGTGACTGGGCTACATGTCCACCCTCCCTTACTGAGAATTTGAAACCCGTGGGTCCTGGTGTTTGACCTGCCGCTGGCTGTCCAAACCGTTTCAGCAATGTATTCCCACCTCCTGCTCTGCCCGCGAGCATGCTGCTGGTTTCTGTGAGAGGCATCTGGGTCATCCCAGCCAGAGGCTGACCGATGCGTTTGATAAATGCCTTAGGGGCTCCAGGAGCAGGGCTGGGAGGTGGAGGCAGCTTTGAAATGCTCCTCAGGCTTCCACCTCCTGCCACCTTGGGTGACGCAGATTGCTGAGCCGGTATTTCATTCTCAGAAGCCCCATCCCTACGTGGCCCCGCAGGCAGCTCTCTTGATGGCCCCTTAGTGTTTATGGGGGACGGGGACCAACCAGGTGGAAAGTTAGCAGAGTCCTTCATGGTAACGCGATGGCTTCCTTGGCGTGTCAGCATCTGAGGGGAGGGCGTTCTTGCTGATGCCCGGGGAGGTGGCACACCTCGGACGGACGGCATCGGGGATGTGGGGTGGGGAGACTGAGCCCCTGCTGGATGGCCCAACTGCTTCAGGAATGAGTTCCTCATTAAAGGCTTCACTGCTTTCGTTGGGGGCTCGGGTTGTCTGTTCCAAGCCTGGGGGAGCCGCCTATGCATTTCCATGGATAGCTGAGGGGAAGACTGTCTGCTCCCAGCATCCCTTGCCGAAAAGCCAGGAGACATTGCCTCAGGAGGAGACGCAAACTGCCTCATGGAGGGGTGAGGTAAAGAGGGGCCCTTCAGCTCCCCAGAGGCAAAATTATGGAGCCGTTGAGGGGCTAAGTTCCTAGCCAGGGTGGCGCCTTGGGGAGCTGAGCCAAACATCTGAAACCTCGATGAGCTGGATTTGAGGGACGGCTGCGGAGACGGCAGGCTGGAAGGTGGCTCACCCCTTGTGCTACTGATGTGCTTTAGCACAGGGGGCGGAGACCAATTCCTCTGACTTACAAACTGGGCCTGAGCTGTTGACCTAGGAGATGAGGTGGGCTGGAAGGTGGAATCGATAGGTTCTGTGCGCCCCCTGGTGGAAAAGCTCTGTCCCCTTGGTAGAGGGGGAGAGGAGACATTTTCTCTGGCTGGGGACCCTAGTCTTCTCAAAGAGGGAGAAGGAGCAGGAGTAGGGCTCTTCATCCTCAGAGAGGATCGCGGTGAGGGAGGAGGACTTCTGGGTCTCATCGGTGGCCGGGGAGAGGGCAGCTGCGGAGATTTTCCAGTCACGTGGCTACCAAACGGCTGCAGAAAGGGGCTGTTTGCAGGAGCGGGGTGAGGGAGGGGGACTTCTGGGTCTCATCGGTGGCCGGGGAGAGGGCAGCTGTGGAGATTTTCCAGTCACGTGGCTACCAAACGGCTGCAGAAAGGGGCTGTTTGCCTCCGGCTTTTGAAAATCGGGCTGTGGCTGGTTAAAGTTGAGCCTTTTCACACTGGGTTTCGGGGAAGGGGATCTCAGCCACGCAGTAGACTGAGACGGTGGCCTGGGGGGCTCCAGGCTGCTTCTGCTTCCTACTCTCCTTAAAGGATGTGGGGAGGAGGAGATGCTCCTCCGGGAAGGCTGAGGGGAAGGAGGCCCTTGTGAATTGTTGTTATTAGTGGCTGTGTACCCAAATTTTCTCCTAGGCAAGAGAGCTGCCGAGTCCAAGGTTTCCATCCCTGCTAACTTGTGGCCAAACTTTTTATAGGAAGGCTCAATTAATGGATGCTGGACGTGTGATTCCTCCTGGGAGATGTCAAAATGTCTCTCAGAAGGCTGAGGAGAAGGGTGATAAAAACGCGGTCCCTCTGGACTCCGGCTGTGCCTGCTAAGTTTTGGGGAAGAGGTGGCTCTTGGCATGTCGCCGTGTCTAATTGATGGCTGAGGGGAAGGCGGCCTCTGAGGCCCGTTCTCACCAAATGACAAGGACGTTGCCCTCCTTACCGATGAGGGCGTGGCGGGCCTGCCCTTCACCACACTCTCGCGGTGTTTTAAAATGGGCTTTGGTTGCGTGAGGGATTTCTGTAAGAACTGCCCGAGGGGGCTCCCACATCCTCGTGGAGAGAAGCTTTGCGAATGCGCCCCCTGGATATTGCCTTGCTGGACATCTGGGCTGAACCTGCTTCCCACCGACTTTGGAGAGTGAGGCCTAGGAAGCCTGCTGCCATGAGCCTGGCCAACATGGCCTTGGGCCACCGAGGGTTGGAGATACCCATTGCTGAACTGGGCGAAGGGAGGTGCCAGCGACTCGTATTCATCGTAGTCATCCTCATCTTGATCCAAGCCAGCAAGGGAGATGTGCGGAGAAGGAGGGAGGGGAATGTCCAGTTTGTCCCGGCCAAACAACTTCACTTGAGGCCTGGGGAAGAGCCTGAACTTCCTGTTTAACGACAGCTTAGAAGGCAACGTTTCCTCGATCCCCTGCTGGTCGAAGAAGGAAGAATTAGGGAGCATAAAGGGGTAATCTCCATTCTCCTCCGCCAACTCCTCTGGCTCGTCCATCTCCGTTATATCGTCCAAAGGATACGCATAAGGGTTATAGGAAGACTGAGCTGGAGGGCCCCATTCACATTCACTGTAACTGATTTCATGCTGAGGAGAATAATCATCCAGATAGCCCATTTCATCTCCCCTCAGATCGTAGGGCCCCCCAGAAGGACCGTATTGGTCTTCAAAAGAGCCGTATGGCCCTGTTTGCTCTTCATAGTAATCCATATCACCCCTATATTGGTCATAGGGTTCATATGGTGAATAGCCAGAAGGTGGCTCATAATCCTGATCTTCATAGTCATAGTAGTCAGGTTGGTTTTGCAGTGGATCGTCATAGTAGTCCATGGGCTCTTCGTAAAGCCCAAAGTCTCCTTCCATCTCATACTCAGGGTAGTCCTCGTAATCAGACGCCCGTCTGTTATGAAAGCTGTATCCATCCGCGTAGTCAGCTGGTGCCTGGAGGTAGCTTTCCACCTCAGGATAGCCATACTGAGCTGGGGCTGGCGGGTCATAAAAGTTGCTGTCATCCTGGTAACAGTTGTAGTAGTCCAGTGAGGTCCTCAGGATAGCCATACTGAGCTGAGGCTGGTGGGTCATAAAAGTTGCTGTCATCCTGGTAACAGTTGTAGTAGTCCAGTGAGGCTGCAGGGTTCTCATACCCACTTGGCCCTGGCTGTGAGAACCTACCAGAGGGCTGCCTCACAAAGCCACCGTGTTCAAAATATGGCTGGTAACCATATTCCTCTTCGACTTGGCCACAGAGCCTCCTGGCTCCAGAGAACCTTCTCATGTTGGCTCGGTGCCTTAGAATCTCATCCTCGGATGGGAAGGGGAGTTTCTTAGCTCCAATCCTAGACAGCCAGGCCTCATTCATGGACCTCTCATTGGAGGGAAGCCTGGCCCGTTTGGACAGGAACTTTCTTGTCAGCCAGCTGGTGGCGGCCGCAGCTTTGCTCAGGATCTGAGCTCGAGGTTTGAATTTCGCTTTCATTCTCTTCTGGCGGAAGAGGCTACTGAAGAACCCACCCTGCTCCTTCGGTTTCTCACCTCCCAGCCGTAGTAGCAGGAAGGAGGGCTTTTTCAGGTTGCCACGGGCCACCTCTTCCTTCTTTTTCCCCATACTCTTAAAGCGCATCATGAGGTTGGAAGTGGATTTCAGCATGGCCTTGTTCTTCGATTTCTTCTTCTTCTTCGTGCTGTATTTCTTCAGCCCCCAGAAAAACCGGGAGGTGTTTTTAAACTGGCCCTTCTTGGAGCGCTTGAGGCCTAGCCTCTTGAAGCCCATGAAGAGCTTTGATGCACTCTTCAGGCTTTTCTTCATTTTGGACTTGGGTGGTGCCACTTCCTTCCTCGCTAGACCTGCCATGGCCTTGGTAGCCCCTTTTAGCTGAGCCTTGGCATGCTCCTTCTTTGCCCCCTTCTTCTTCCTGGCCTCATCGCCCGCCAACCCCATCAACAGGTGGGAGGCACCTTTAAGGTGCAGGTCCTTCTTCTTTTTCTTTGCAGAATAATCTTCCTCCTCCTCCTCCTCTTCTTCCTCTTCCTCCTCCTCAGACAGCATCTTTTTCCCTTTCCCCTGTTTCTTAGCCTCCACGGCTTTGGAGGCCCCCTTTTTGTCCTTCCCTTTCTTTTTTTTAGGGTCTTCATCACTGTCTTCCTCCTCCTCCACCATCTCACTCTCCTCGTCGCTGTCTTCCTCGGCATTGCTTTTCGTTAGCTCAGAGTCCGAGGCCTCCTCTGACTCACTGAGAACCTCCTTCCTCCCCTTCTTGGCATCCTTCCCCTTCCTCTCATCCTTCCCTTTCCCCTTTGCCGCTTCCTTCCCCTTCCCCGCCTTGGCATCGCTCTTCCCGCCCTTGCCCTCATCCTTGCCCTTCTTTGCCTTGCCCCCCTTCTCAGCAGGCTTTTTGGTCTCACCTTTTTTGCCACCCATGCTCCTCGTGTCCCAGGCTCATACTCTAGCTTCCAGATGCAATGGGGTCGCCATACGCCCCTTGTGGTCCCCACTGGAGGTGCGGGTCACTCCTCCAAAGCCAGGCAGCAGCCAGCCCTCAAAGCCAAACGCTCATGCGGCCCACGCACATTCATGAGCCAATTGTAATGTCTTCCTAGCAGCAGGGACAGCTCTTCTGCTTTGCCCTGAAAGAGCGGAGCGCACTGCCCAGAGCTAGTGCTCATATATAGGTCTTGGCTTTATTTACCTTCGCAGGGTTTCAGCCTTCCCCTCCTAGCTTCGTTGTCCTGGGACTGACCTGCTCAATCCCTCTGCTGCACTTTAGAATGTGAATGCAGCGTCCCACCAGCGATGAGTACATCCTCTGAAGCTTGCCGCTGCATCTTCCGGGACATCCTGCTTCCTCCTTCCACTGGGAAGTCCCTGGCCCTGCCTTTTAACATTCCATAATGACTTGTCCGTCAAGACGTCTCGTCCCAACCTGCGATGCACCTTTCTGCCAAGCACTGGGAGTTAAGAACTCAAAGTTATTGCCTCTGTTCTGCTAGACTGTAACTGTATCTTCTTGGCTCCTGGCTGTATGAATAATGCAAGTGGGCTGCCCTGCATCTACTCAGAGACTCTTCCAAAGGAGAAAGAAGACAGAAGAAGCAAAGGAAGAGAATTCAGAAATGGCCTCGGGCCCGCACTGCAAATGCACCGGCCACAGCAATCGGAAGATAAATCTGGATGAAGGCAAAGAGTGGAAACAACCCTTCTTAGAGGGTGAAATTCATATTCACGGCTAGCAGCCTACATCTCAAGTCACCAAAAGGGCTTAATTGAGATAAAGTGGTGCGTAATCTGTCTGCCTACAGGTGCATTTTTCCCAAACAGAAAAAGTCTTCCATAAGTTCTCCTCCCAGTATCGACCACCACCAGGGAGAGCCGCATTAAAACAGAGGTCTCCTCTCGCTCCCTGTGCCGTAAATCAGGAGCAATGGCTTAAATGAGATAAAGTGGTGCGTAATCTCTCTGCCTACAGGTGCATTTTTTCCAGACAGAAAAAGTCTTCCATAAGTTCTCCTCCCAGTATTGACCACCACCAGGTAGAGCCGCATTAAAACAGGGGCTCTGAGTCTCCTCTCGCTCACTGTGCCGTAAATCAGGAGCAACCCACTGCAGTCCATCGCTGGGAAACACCAGAGTTCCTCCCAGGAGGAGCATCAGGAGCTTGTCTGTCTATTTCTCCCCAAGCCAGGAGGCTATATTGACATCATCAAAATTAGGAGACAATGCACCTGTCACAGTGGGTGGGTCAGATTCAATTTTCATTTACACCAGGAGTGGTCACGTCCCATAAGACGGCAGATCTACTGTGCTAAGAAGACTCATGGCCCTCAGAGACAAATTCTACTCTCACAGCCATGCATCCTCTGGGTACGTCTATACTAGCTCGTTAGTTTGAGCTAGGTAGGGTAATTAGGGCAAGTGGAGTTGCAAATGAAGCCCAGGATTTCAATATCCTGGGCTTCCTTTGCATGTTCCCGGGCGCTGCCATTGTAAAATCCCCCTTAGTCCGAACTCCGTGCCCTGCAGCTACACGCGGCACGGTGTAAGTAGTTCCAATTAAAGATCCTAATTCGAACTACTGTTACTCCTCATTCCACGAGGAGTAACGGTAGTTTGAATTAGGATCTTTAATTCAAACTATCTATTCCGTGCCACGTGTAGCTGCGGGCACGGAGTTCGGACTAAGGGAGATTTAAAAATGGCAGCGCCCGGGAACATGCAAATGAAGCCAGGGATATTTAAAGCCTGGGCTTCATTTGCAACTCCGCTTGCCCTAATTACCCTACCTAGCTCAAACTAACGAGCTGGTGTAGACATACCCTTTGATTCCAGGAGGGCTTCATGGAGGAGACCTTCACAATAGGATTTTTCTAATCTTGCAGATCTGACAGCTGTGGTGAAATTCACCCTCAGGAATGACTAATGAGCCCATTCTTCTATATAGAGGTTTTCACAAGAGCCAATGAAAAGGGAGAGGGGGGTTTATAAAAGGCAGCACTTTTCATTGATAGGCCTGAATTCTGGAGTTAAGTGTCCAGACACTCAATCTTCAGCCTTCTCAAACTCCCTAAGGGGACATGAGAACAAGCCGGCCTAGGGCAATAACACCCAGAGAGGATCAGGTGAGTTCCAACGTAGTAAATACACCTCAGAGAAAAGGAAGGGGCCATTGAAATGATCATAAGCTGCCACGCAAAGACCACGCAGCTTTCTGCCGACAGCTTGGACCCTACAGCAGTTCACATCCCAGACAGCCTGCGCTTCTGGGACAGCTCTTTGCTGCTAAAAACATGAGCTGTTACAGCAGGGTTTGCACTAAACCTGTCTGGAGGGCGAAGGGGACGTAGCAGCTCACATCCTTTGGGGTTCAGGCATGTGAAGGGGGCCCAATAACACACATTCGCCAGTGGGTTAGGCATGCACTTAGTAGGGGGAAGCAGGGATAGGCATGTGCATGTTTGCTTGTGGTGTGTCCAAGATTGCCCGTGTATGTGTGGTATGCCCACACAGAACTGGTGTGTTTGCATGGTCGGGGACAGCAGCTGGGGAATGGGAAATTAGAGCCCTGCAAGAATTTGTAGCCCAGCCATGTTTTCCACCCCACCCTTTCCCCATTGCCCCCTGCATGACAAAGAGGATAATCTCCAGGTATTTTAATTTACTTCCCTAGCCCCAGTGGAAAGAATACAGAGATCCTGCCCCCACCCAGTAGCAGCCACCAGTACAGGCGACCTAGGCGGTCACCTAGGGCACCAAGAAAAATGGCCGTTGAGGGCTTTGGAGGCGGGGGGCGCCGATCACGCATTTTGCCTAGGGCGCCAGTTGCTGGCAGCTCGTCTAGGGCCGCTCCTGCCCCCACCACATGGGCTCTTTTGCAGCGCACTGGTACAATCTCCTCTAGCACATGGTAGACCCTAAAGGCAGCCAGAGAGCCTTCGCCTTATGATTTCTGAATCCTCAGTCGCAGCCAGCTCCTTGTGACATCAATAGCACTCCTCAGCAAGCCCAGCAGTGTGCTTTCCCTGGCAAGTAGCCAAAGGCTGAGTCACTGGGCGCTGCTGTGGGCTTTATAGCCCTCCCCCTTGAATTTCAGCCCCCTCGCCGCCCCGCCCTTTCTCAGAGCCCAAGGCCTCTGTGCTCCTGGTTCAGGTTTCATAAGGAAAGCAAAGGAGCCCATTTCATATCGGCGCGCGACTGACGTGAAACCAGACACTCAAATCTCCCCCAGCCCTTCGTGCTCACTGCTCCGCTCTTAGTGCAAATCGGGGAGCCTGCTCTCTGGCGAATACCGTGGCGGGTGAGGTGCAGCCAAGCCTGCTCGGGCAGAGGGGTAGTGACTGGACTTGCTTTTCAGCCTGGCAAAATTCATCACTATGCGGATAGAGTAGCCAGCCAAACTAAAAATGAAATAAAGGAGGTGGGGGCTTTCCACAGAGGCAAGAGAGGAGACCCTGGTTTTCATTGCAATATGCTGCCTCCTCCACACCTAAGTCCCCACTTAGTGACTCCCTCTCTCCCCACCCCGTGACTGTTCCTACAGCTGGATTCTACTCCCACTTTTCCCTCCCTTCATTACGGAGCTGCTGGACCCGTGTATGAGGCGCCCTCTGCTGGGAGGACACCAGTTAAGGCAGTTTCCCATTTGCAATGAGGGGACTGGATCACCATGGAGACAGCCGGAGGCCTTGTTTTCATCTGCAGCCCTACCGGAGGTATTGAGGCTCATAACTTCCACTGACATCGATGGATATCCCTTGGCGTTGCTTCGTCCTAGCTCTCAGTGACATGCAGCCTGGGGCATTTCACCTGGGAAAGGGCAACACCTAAAGGGCCGAATACTCAGCTGGTGTAAATCCCTGGAGCTCCATCAGGTCAGAGCTCCATCTCTTCATGCCGGCGGAACATCAGCCTCGTTAATGTTTGGCCTTTACTCAGGGTTCTGAAGGACGTTTTGGAGCCTCACTGAGCCCAGACCCAGGTTCTGCTGCTTGCCGGCTGCGGGTTCGCAGAAAGCCACCCAGCCCACGAGCATCGCAGCTGACAGCATCTCCAGAGGAAAGAGGCTGACAAAGCAAAGGAGCATTGGGAATCCCGATCGGCAGCAGCAGCACGAGGGGCCTACAAGGGCTGGCAACCCCAGGAGGAGAGGGGACACATCACAGCTGTGACGTGAGGGCACAGGAAAGATGAGGAAGAACACGCGCCCAAAGGGCATCCCAGCATGACAGGGCTCCCTCAACTCTTGGCCAGAAAGAATCAATGCAGAAGGGCCTGGAAATGCCTCCAGGAGAGGGCTGGTTCCTAAGCAATCAAAGAAAATGGATTCCACCTTGGTCCTATCCAAGATGTATCCTGCCACCCCGGGATGCCTGGCTTTCTAGAGGTAGAGGGCTGAAGAAAGAAGTGTCTCTCGAACTGTGTGATACAAGAATTTAAATCCCCAAGGGCACCAGAGAGAGGGGACCGGAAATGTTCCAATTAAAATACGATTGGATTTTATTGCCCATTGTCCCGGGCACCCTTCAGCAGGCCTGCAAACTGGGCACCCTGACCCAGTGCATGCAGCTCTTTGTACTTGGGATTTTAGGTGTAGAAAGGGAGG